TAATAAGTTTGAGCAACAAAACAAATAAAGACGTTAATGATCCCAACTCTCGTGAGCAGTGGCGAGGAGCCATGGCAGTAAGTAAGGCAGGCAGCAGATAGATACACACAGTACTAGAAGATGGCAGAGGCGGAGAAATTTATAAAGAGAAAAGAGAAAGAGAGAGATGGGTGGGTAGATAGATAGATCCGATATATACTTTAGCCTTGATGGTACGTAGTGGCACAAATATACATGCCAAACTCTGGCGCCAATTGGACAAGAGCCACCCTCCCACTGCACTGCAGCACCTAGCTCTGTGCTGTGTCTTTTTGCATGCATGCTTTCAATTTACTCTGCGAGAGTGAGAGAGAGACAGTAGCACAGGGCTCGAGCTTTTTAAATGTTTGGTTTGCCACCAAAATACTGCCAGCGCCTGCTGCCTGTATGTGGCTACGTACGTACACAGTTGCTTGCAATAAAGAAGCCACCGCCGTCGTCGATCGTCGTGTCTTTTTTTTGGTTGGAGCTGTGCAGGCAGGCAGCGTGGTACGTACTAATTAGCACAAAAGGATTAATCCATAATATTGCCTTTGCGATTTTGAGAAACTTAGCCTCTCTTTCATCTTTCCCGTACGCGCCCGACTTGACCACCCACCATCGATCCATTCCCTGGCCTGCACCTTCACGCTCACTTGGATTCTTCCATTAGTTGTATAACGGTCTTCCATGGTTGAGACCGGTTCATAGATCGAACCAACTTTTGAAATGAATCGATTCTGTAATGGAGTACTACTGCTGATAGCTAGGTTCTCTTGCTAATGCTAAAAAAATGTACTCAAATTTGGTCATGAGCGAAACGTTTAAGATGTGTAACCACTTTAAAGTTGAAACTGATTAGACTTAAAAAAAAAAAAAAGTTCACTGAAAAGGACGAGCGAGAAAGTCCATCTGCATGAAATATCTTCATGTGTTATTCAGAGAGATGATTTAATTTTTCGTAACAAAAGAAAGATTAACTTAGTGATAATATGAGAACGTTCCATTTACCATATTATAAATTTGAATTTCAAGGTTAACAAATATAGTTATCTAAACAAAAGAATCTTCATATGTCATTCAAATCTATATTATTTAAGGTTAAAAAAGTTTTATTATTCTGATATTCTTAGCTCGTGACTAATTAGATGACTCCAAACTCAGAACCGAGTGGCTTTCAAGCTTTGTAACAAAATTGGCCCGGGTTTGGAAATGGTGCAACTCTTTATCATGGAAGCCTTTGTCCAGCTAGCTAGGATGTTTCAAAGTAAAGTAAACAAGAAGGTTTGTTTAGGGAGGCGAGAGAGATGCATGGAGACAAAAGAAAAGGAAGATCGAGACATGGATCGATCAGTTAAGAGGAACGAGTTCCAAGTCATTCAACAATCAACATCATGTTAATGTCTGTGCAGTGGTGGCCTAACTCTACTTCCCTACCAACGTACCCATGAAAATTCATATAAGTCAAAGGGGAAAGCCTATATAGGTACGTTGATCTGAAAAAGAAAAAGAAAAACTCAGGTCAATTTTTGTTTTTGGTGAGCCAAATTAAAGCCCAAAAATGATCATTTTAATCGTGTGGATTGTATATTAAGTATCAAGATGTTGAATTATTTGTCATTACAGGAAAGCTAAGAAAAATTAGAGGTAGTTTGCTTGTAGGATTTTGATTAGGGATTTTGCCCCAAAATCCCATATGGGTTGGATTATTGTCCAAATTCATGCTTGTTGATAAAAATGAGATTGACATAAATATGTGAGGCCCACAAATGTGGAATTTTTGTTTGCCCAAAAGTCGTGGATCCCACGGATTATAAAATCCCACCTCATTAGGTAAGAGTTTGAGAGGTGTCAAAATCCGTGTACCCCACTAATTATGAAATGACCAAAGTGTCCTTAACAAAAAAAACAAAAATACTTTATTAAAGATAAGAAGAAGGATAAGGAGATAAACTCATCATTTAACTCATAAATCCAATATAATAAAATCCATTTTGAAAACCAACAAGCGAACATGTAATTTCTAAAATCCAACACAAATCAAAAATAGCAAAATCCAACATAATTCTTCAATTTCAAAATCCAAGGTTTTACCCTAATCCTTCATTTTTCAAAATCCCATAAGCAAACGACCCCTAGTTGATCAATCATGGAAAACAATTAGGTCCCTGTTTGTCTGGAGAAAATGAGAGCACGGGAAGAAAAATTAGTTGATCAATCTATAAGTATATAGATAGCTGAATATTTTTTCTGCACCCCCATTCAAATTTTCCTGCAACGAGAGTGAAAGTAGGAAGGGTATTTTTGTCTTCACAATGATCTATTTGTTTCTCATTTATTCTTAAAAAAATACACATACCAGGATTTGTACCGTGGTCATTTTCAACTATGATAAAAATCTTAATCAATCATACTACATGGATTAGTTGTATCATTCTAAATAAAAAAACATACATGAAGCTAAAATTAAAAAATCACAGAACTTTTCAACAGTTAGCTAAGGTCGCTAAATCTTCGCTCATTACTTATTGGTGTTTTGATACTTCGATTTTCATATTTAATTATTTAAATTATACTTAAATACTTAATTTAAATTTCTATTTATCTTATATATAGACGATAACTTTAAAATTATAGACCAAATATCATTGGTTCAATACTACATATCGAATGTGTAGAAGCGATCGATGTTGAACTCCTACATTAGTATTAGTTTATAGAACTACTATGAGGCAATTATATTCATATCTTTCTGCAAACTATATAGGGACGGGTTCTTTGAATGTTTTTAGCTCAGTTAACCGTTAAGTTTTAAACATCTTCCTAATCCGACAACATGATGGTTTCAACAATCATTAGAAGAGGTTGAGTTTAATAGATTGGTTTATTTCATCTTCTTATGTATTAAAATGAATTTGTAGAGCAAGGACATGTCTACATATACATTCTACACAATATATACTATTGGCACGATAAAATTGTCTTCTCATTTCAAATTTCCTACAACGAGAGCAAAAGTATGAATGGCATTTTTGTCTTCGCCATTATTTATCTTTATTTTGTATAGAAAATAGACAAGTATTGGGATTTGAAGTAATGTATCTTCAAACACAGACAAAAGTCATAACCATGATTTTCAATTCGAGTATGACTCTGTTTTGAGCACCAGCCACTTCAAAATTATGTTGTTTTCAACAATTCGTATACGTAGCTACACTGTCATATCATCCTTTTACTTATCATATAACCCTACAACATGAAACATCACAGACCATGTTCGACTATCCCATCGTCTCTTCTTCTTACTTTAGATTTGAGAGCCTACAATACACGACCCAACCATCTCAAAAGCTATCATAATCCCGCAATAGCAAATTTCATTTTTCTCCAACTGCATAGTCATAGAGCCAGTCGACCTCATTTCATACAAATATGAAGCAAAAATTATTAAGAAACATGCATTTGAGTTGAAAATTTAGGTGACTAACAAAATACCATAAAAATTACAATGAAATAATAAATTAACCATTTTAGAAACCTCAACTTATTTAAAAATATGAAAATATTTAAAATATAAAACAAAATTCATCTGACCAACGAATCGGATTAATATTTTAAATATAATTATAAATTAACCAATATTAATGATAAAGCGAAACTCATTCGACCAAGGGCCGAGTAAAAGCTAGTCATGGAAAACAATCAATTCCCTGTTTGGGTCTTTGGGATGATTAATTCAGGCTTAGAGTGGTTGTCCTTATATTCAAAAAAAAAAAAAAAAAGAGTGGTTGTCCTTAGCTAGTTTATTAACTATACTCATGAAATAATCACAGCCAAGCCGGCAAGTCCTTGATGGTTTCGGATTTTGGTTCATTCTGAGTTAATTTTTTGAATCCCTCATACAAAAAAAGTTTATTCCTCGAATCATTGCGTTAGTTTGTTGTTTCACGTTGAATGTCTTTGGTAGAGCAGAGAGTATAAAAGTTAGAGTGCATGCGTCAACAAAGATGGGGATGGAGAAAAAAAAAACACGACAAACATTAGAGATGGATTTTCGCCAGTAATTCGAAATTCACCTGATAGAAGAACTTAGTTCACAAATCAACATCTTTGTAACGTCAACCACAAATTAAGAACCAAGATGAAGAAACATAGAACAAGAGAAAAGGGCTAATAACACACGAAATGTTCCGGTTTCTAAATTCTAGAATGTGAAGCCACAACAATAACTATGATCATATTCAGGGCAGGGCAATCTTAGATGCCACCCCAGAACTTTGAGAATCGGGTATAAGTGTCTTATGAGTTTTGAAAATTATGTATAAATCAAAATTTGAGATAAATTTAGAAGTGTGCAATTCATAAACAAAGTCATTACTTAAAAATGTTATCACAATGGACCATTGTAGCTATGTTAGTCCTTTTCTACTTATCATATTTAACTTTCAATTTAGTCACTTAACTTTCATACTACGGTTTTATTAATATTTCAAATTCAGACTATGTGAATTTGGTGATTTAAATTCCATATTTCAATTTGAAAATCCTTCAAAATCAAAATATGTTAATTATACTGTACTTTGATTTTGTAAATCCTTCAAATTCAAACTATTTAAGAAATCCAAAAGGAGGATGTAAACCATATAATAAAAATTTGTGGCTCCTTTCGAACACCAAGTATAATAACGTTCTTCAGATCCTTAAAGTTCGATATTATTAAAAAAAACTTAAACTCGAAATAGAATTGACTCAGCAATGTCTGATTGATCTGGCTAATTAATGACCCAACTCCTAACAGGCTAGCAAACATAGGATAGGATGTTCTTCAAGGTAGATAAATATTTATCTGGGCCTCAGATAAGCAGCCCATTATTGCCTGCTAACCAGATCCATCTAACGAGCCCATTGTCGTTTAATCTCCCACAACAAGCCCACTATTTCAAAAGATCCCGCAACGTGTACCAATCTTCACCATTTCGCAAAAACTAGTGGCTGCAAACAAAACAAGAAAAACACAGTTACACAAAACACCATCCATTTGCTCTTCTGCAGAAGATCTTCTCCCACCATTACCAAAAACCTTCCCTCCAGAAACAATGGCCTTCACGTCTATCTGCCCATTACCCATGAAGTCCACCATCTCCATTTCACACACCAAGTTCCCCCACCATCGCCAGCGCTCTCTTCCTAAGTCTCCCCTCAAATTTCAGTTGTCAGCCACAGCAAGACGAGATGAAGTGGAAGAAGAACAATTTCACAGTAAGCGGAAGTTGATTTTGAATTCGCCGTCGATTGCTTTCAATTGTTTTTAAATTCTGATAAGATTTCACTTGAAAAGGTAGATTGTTCCATGCATAATGGTAGACCCCAGAATTGGAAAGCATTGGTCTCTGCTACACTGGCCGCTGCAGTTATTAGCTTTGGTTCCAGTGGGTTCCAGGTTCCTAATGCAGTGGCTGAACTTAACAAGTATGAAGCCAACACTCGGGGTGAGTTCGGTATAGGATCAGCAGCTCAATTTGGTTCTGCAGATCTCAGGAAAGCAGTTCATGTGAATGAGAATTTCAGGTAATGTTTATAGACCAATACTGTTGTCAGTTGTGTTGCTTCCATGAAAAGAACAAGTGTGGTAGGGGGGAATTAACGCTCGTTGCCTGTACAGGAGGGCCAATTTTACATCAGCTGATATGAGAGAATCCGATTTCAGTGGTTCGACATTCAATGGTGCATACATGGAGAAAGCAGTTGCTTACAAGGCAAATTTCACAGGTATGTACGCTCTCCATTCATCTCCTCACTCAGCTTCTCTTGCTGAAGAATCATAGGGTAGTATCAAGATAATTCCTTCTCGCTAACATCTGTCAATGATGTCTATGGATGACTACTAGTTAACCCTGTTCCTAAACTACTCCAGCCCTAGCAAAATCACTTTGTAGCTAAGATCAGTCTATGGACTACTGCTAGTTAACCCTTTTTTCTAATGAATCTGGTCCTAGCAAAATCACTTTATAGCTTTAGCTTCTGCTCTTCCTTTAGCTGTCTTGGGTCTAGAAACCCTTCTTTTCTGCGTCCACGGGCAATTCTGTGGAGCCATCAGTGCCATTACTATCGTCCGGGACCCTGGAATCACAGTATCAGTAGATGGTTTCACATCAGGGCGTTTGCCTATGTCTTTGTTGCTTGGATTTCCATTACCTGTCTCCAAGCTTTCAGAATCTCGTTGAGACTTTTCGGCATTAGAAGTATGCATGATCTGCTCTTTGTGATCTTCCTCATCATTGGCCCCAGTAGTACCCGTATGCATTATCTGCTCTTTGTGCTCTTCTTCATCCTTGGCCCCAGTAGTACCCGTCTGTGGAGTACCAACAAAACCTGTAGCAACTTGATTAGTTTGAGCTTCGTTTCCACCACAGCCTGGTGGGAAGGTCCGAACGCCTGAAATTTTCCTCCTAGGTGGATAGACTCTTGCCTTTACTGGAAAGTCTGCCTTGGACAGTTTACTCAAATCATCATGAGGTGAAGATGAAGTCTTGATCAATTCTAACTTCTGCAATCCCACTGACAATGCCAGTTCAGCTTCATCATTCTCCTTCATTGGCTTTTCTTCTTCTTCCAAGTAGTTTAAACTAGATGATGTTGAACATGGCTGAACCGAGGTCCCCAATTTTTCACTGGAGGGCATTTTATTAGGACCACAGCCCACCGGAAAACGACGAACACAAAATACCCTGCCCTTCTTGGGCCTCCTAAGAGTATCAGGATTAGCACATCCATTACCAACTGTCCTTTCAACACTGTGTGTAGTAGCATCAGAGTCATTCTCCGTATCCATCATTCAATTGCTCAATGAAGCAACAGCTTAGAAACTTCCCAAGTATCTGCACCAACAAAATGAGATGTCCCACACTCATAAGGATCATGTAGAACAAAAACCATCAATCACAAACCGAGGGAGCCTCCTTCTATTAATCCTGCTAAACCTATTGTATTTGCAATTAGCCATTGCCCTGATCCTGGGATCACTAACAAGGTTCCACAACTTCGGAACAGAGAACCCTCCATCCATGTTCCTTTGGCATTATTAGTTATCTTTGATCTTTCTTCACTTAAAAGACTGGAATTTTTCTCTAAACCCTTTTCAGAAGCTTAGCGTACAAGACAAAATTTTGCTAGGTCTAGGCGTATAGTTTACAACCCATGAGTGGGTTCCAACTCATTCTTAGTGAACAAACAAAACCACAATACAAAGAGGGTACTCAACAAATCGGGAAGATTTCCATTCTGAGAAACTTTCCCACAAAGTATAGAGAACGCGTCAAAGCTCAAAATTTTAAGAGAAACACCGGGGACACTACAAACTGACCAAAGAAACAGAAGAAATTAACCGAAGAATTAAAAAACCACTGAATGAAGAGACGACGAAACCAGAGAAGAAGCGAACCTTTTCAAGATTGCATCAGCCTTCATTGCCCTGAGCAGAAGGGAAAAGCTCTGTACAAACTGGTAAGCCAAGAACCTCAGAATCTTCTAAGAGTGGAAACTGGAGATAGAGAAAGGACGCTCTTACTGAATGAAGCGGATAACAGAAAAGAGGTTTGAAGTCAAAGAACCCCGTAGTACAAGACTTCTTCTGCAATGCGGAGACTGTGGATCAGGGAAGGAAGGTAGGAAAGAAAAGGGAAATTCGCTAATTCCATTAGGGCTCTTTATGGGTCCATAAATTGCTGGGCCTAGAAGCAGGCTCGAAAACTTCCGGGCGGCTTAACTCGAAAAACCTAATACATATGCTTTGCTACTGATTGGTTTTGTAGTTAACGAATGTTTAACATTTTGATAACAGGTGCTGATTTGAGCGATACATTGATGGATCGCATGGTGAGAATAATGTCTGTCACAAAGCAAAGTCCAATTAGTTAGCAGTTTTTGGATGAATGGGTTTTGCTTTTCTGCGGTTCTCATATCTACACTACACAGGTTCTGAACGAAGCTAACCTAACCAATGCGGTTCTGGTTCGAACCGTGCTAACCAGAAGCGATTTGGGTGGTGCCATTATAGAAGGTGCTGACTTCAGTGATGCAGTTCTTGACCTTACCCAGAAGCAGGTAACATTGTCTTGTATCTTCTGAAACCAAACCATCGATGTAGTAACTAAAGAAGTGTGTAATGATGTACCATTATATGTGCATGTAAATTGTGTAGGCACTATGCAAGTATGCGAGTGGGAAAAATCCAGCAACAGGGGTGGACACCAGATTGAGCTTAGGGTGTGGCAACAAGAGGAGGAATGCATATGGTTCCCCATCTTCCCCATTGTTGAGTGCTCCCCCTCAGAAGATCCTCGATCGCGACGGCTTCTGTGACGAATCCTCTGGTCTCTGTGACTCCAAATAGATCCATCACTCAGATTTGTTTCCATACATGAAGCATGCTGAGATGAAGTCTTTCCACAAACCAGAACAATCCAGTCTCTATGCTTGATATTGGGGAGGAGCAGCAGGGACAGGATTGTAATTACTACTTATCAGTTATCATGTAATGTCATTGTAGATATGAATATGATGTGAATGAACAACTCCAAACGTCGCTTTTCGACAGACTCTGATCGTTGTGAACGAACCGGGTTGGTTGGGTTGAATTGCCAAGCCAAAATTGAGAGGGCAGAAATTAAAGGGAATCACTGTGGGCAATGATTTAGCTTCCTGCGTGCTGTTCCCTCATGTAAACAGAATTTGTACAATCTGGTGGCCCTGTTCTGAAATTCCATGCCATGTTATTGTCTCCAACTTGACATTAATGTGGGCCTGAATCCTCAAGGCACGGGCTAATCTCAGTGGAGGTGGCTGTGAGTTCCATTTAGTCCATCCCAATCTCTGAGATTAACATTCATCCCAGACTTTCTGAAGCAGGGGAAGTCATTATTGTGTTCAGGTTTTGGACCAATGATGGTGGCAGAATGCTGAGGAAGATAGTCTTGCAAACAAGAGGTCAACTAGCTAGCAAAAATGAAAATAATAGGGGCCGCTATAGAGGATCGCCTCTAGTGCTTGCTAAAAATTAAATCAAGAATTGTAAAATCATATGATTGTATAGCTCGACTGAAAGGAAGAATATGTGAGCCCGAAAAGCGGTCGAAGGTTTATTATGAGCCCGTAGGGCGAAGGAACGAAGTTGCTCGCATTTTAATTAGAACAAGAAGGAGAGGAAGAGAATATATGAGTCCGAAGAGCGAAGGGAGAAGGGACAGAGCGGGAGTGAGTGCATCACAGGTGTGATGCATGAACCACTAGGAAGCCAGATAAGTTTATAGTGATAAAACTACCTAGGGTAGGAAAAAAGCGCAGAGGTTCCGTGTTAAAGCACAGAGGGTAGGAACGAAAGGAAGAAAGGAGAGGTAGGAGGTAGAGGTAGAAGGGAGAATGTTAGGTAGAGGTTAAGTTCGTGGTAGTACAGTTTGTACTTAAACTATTATTTAACCGTGATTGAACCATCTCATACCAATAAAATCACTATACTTGCTTGAGTTCCAGCAAGATCGTGGGTACAATACAGTTCAAATAACACGGCTAAAAATGTTAAACGCTAGAGTTGAAGTCATTACCTATATAGACTCTATCTTGAGTTTTACAAGGGGAAATCTCTCATTCTTCTCCCGTTTTGATAACATTTCTAATTTTTATAAGATTCCCTCTACATTTTTCATACATCACCTTTCACATACAATAAACTAACTTGAGTACCGATGGACTAGTGACAACATGTTTAGGGATGGCAATTTCGACCTGACCCATTTTACTCGACCTATTTGACCTGTTTTGGGGTGGGTCTGACCCGCCTTGTAGGCGGGACGTGGCGGGCATGGGTATTCTCATCTACCCGACCTGCCCTGACCCGCCCCATTCTCGACCATTTCTTGCCTAAATTACATGTAATTTTAGTCAAATTACTTAGCATTTTCCTTTTATTACATCATACTTTAGTTATAATAAAGTTGTAAATTAGTGAAAACCTTAATTTCTCTAATAATTCAACTACATTTTATCATAATATTGTTTGTTTTCTTGGTCTTATAATTAAAATTACGAATATTTCTAATGTTTTTCATATAAATTGCATACCCATTGGGTCGACCTGCCCCGACCCACAACCCGTGATAAATTACCCGACCTGCCACGAGACGGGTCTGGGTACCAGGAAACACGGACCTGCCCCATTGTCATTCCTAAACATGTTCTACTACTCCATAAATTTGGACTCGACTCACTCCCAAGTCAAGTAATCTACCAACCAGTGGCGGAGGGAGGTGGAAGGGAGTGGGGTCCTAGACCCCACTTGGATAAATTAAAATGGTTAAATGTGTGTACATACTTGTTTAATTTGGGTAGATTTAGAATTCAGGACCCCATTCATATGAAATTGAATTGTCCTAGTATTATGAAACACACAAATAAATTAGACTATATTGGTCATATATCATTGAAAATCCCCAATTATATAGTCCTTATTCTAAAAATTTCTAATTCTACTAATATGTGCACAAAACCTCCAGCTATATCTAAAAAGCTCTTAGTTCAACAATTTTTTTCTATCAATATAAAATTTATTTGTCATCAAATGTGTTTTATAAAACGTTTGTGTGTATTAGATTCTGCTTGAGAACTATTTATTTTAGCTAGTTATTAAAATCACTTTTCAATTAAGAATTACACAAAATGTAAGGTACAAATCTAATAACTAATGGTTTGATGAATGACTACTTGATTTGATATTTTTAAGAAAATGTACATAATAATTGAATACAATGTTATAATTTTTTTCGTAAATGAGACCCCACTAAACTCGAATTCTGGATACTGCTACCAACCAACCCTAATAAAAACAAAACCAATCATGCATGCTACGCTTTGCCTTCATTCTTCCTCATTTGCCCAATTTATGCAAGTTGCTTGCCCTTTACTTTTGCGGCCTTCAGTTTGTTAATACGGAAAGTGGACCACGCGGCAGCAAAAGAAAGAAAGCAGACGATCCTTTCGAGAAGGGAACATGAAAGGAAGAAAGAAACAGAGCAATGTCTCCTTTTAACGGTTGCCACTCTTGCATTACCAATCAGGGAATATTGTGCCCTCCGACATTCATGCTCGCTCTTGGCCTTGTCTTGTCTTTCTTTTGCACGCCTATTAGCCCCAAGACTTCCCAAAACTGTTCAGGATTGGACCAACAAGTGTCACTTCTCTGGTATGGTACAAAATTAGGGTTTGGACATCTTCAAGAATTGTGATTAGAATTAGTATAAGTATAAAATTAGTTTGGTTGGATGGTGCTGAGCATTAGTAAAGCCGTATACGGCCCATGTACTGTACGCGTAGAGTATATAGCCCACGTATATATTGTTGAGCCCATGCATTGGACGTCCAGTACGTAGTAGTAGCCCATGTATAATCCGGCGGGGTAGTATTATGGGTTCGAGACTATAGGTGATGAACTAGGGTTAATAATGGTGTAGCTGGCTAGAATATGGAGGTAGAGCTGTGAATAATGGAAATACAAAGAATTACTGCCATGTATATCATATCGTTCAGATCAGCTTGCTCGAGCCACGTAAATCACTCGCGTCGTTTCTCTTTTATTTTGTGAATATACGTATGATATGTTTACGCTTAAGGTGGTATCAAATCAAATGCAATCTAGCTGAAACCATAATTTGTTATGATTGAAACTTGAAAGTAGTAGCTAGTCCTAAACTAGTTAATCAGTATGTACGTGTACGTATAAAAGTACTGAACCAATGTCATAATGCTAAAACAACATCGTATTCGTCTACCTAGCTAGTCTGATCCCAGAAAGAAAGAAAGAAAGAAAGAAAGAAAGAGGATTGACTACTTGAACTTAAGAATACTTTCCATCGCAATGATAATGTTGTTTATATATAATTGTCATTCTGATGAGGGAAGTGTCAGTCAGAGGAGCCTGCGAACTGAAGTGGGGATTGTGTGGATGTGAACTGCTCCGAAAGCAATCTCAAGACAAATAATCATAGCTCGTCACATGACATGGTTTTTGTTTGTTGAATATACAGGATAAACCTTCTTCCTGATAAGTCAATTTATATAGGGGTCGTTTGGAAGTTGCGATTGTTAAATAGATGTATTGTTGAGAATGCATGTATGATATTATGGGATCTCCTACAGTAACTTGGATATAATTTTAAGTTAGGTAACTTGCATAGATTTAAACCGTTAAAATTGATCACACTTATTTTAAACCATTGATTAAAGAAATAAAAAATAAAAAAATAACTATAAAAATAAATGGCAACATGAGTTGCCGGTCACCACATACCCAAGTTACCTTTTTCAATTTTTTCTTTCCTTTTTTCACATTTAGTTGTCTTTCCATATTTTAACATTTCCTTTTTTAATTCTTATTGAATTAGAAGTGTTACGTAAGACTTCCGTAATAACTTAGCTCTTTACGTAACACGACGTTAATATTCATTACGTAAAGAGAGACCTTCTATTACGTAAGGCTTCCGTAATTATATTTTACAACTGTTACGTAAAATACACATTCACTACGTAAAGGTTACGGAATGATAGTTATTTCTTACGTAACACTTAAATCGGAAGCGTTACGTAAGGCTTCCGTAATGACTTAGCACTTTACGTAACTCAAGGTTAAGACTCATTACGTAAAAAGACATTCCATTACGTAAGGTTACGAAACGACCGTTATTTCTTACGTAACAGTTAATTCAGTAGCGTTACGTAAGGCTTCTGTAATGACTTTGCATTTTACGTAATGCGAGGTTAATACTCATTACGTAAAGACACATTCTATTACGTAAGGCTTCCGTAATGACCTTTTACAACTGTTACGTAAGATTATCATATGTTACGTAACCATTACATAATGCCTATTGCGTTTTACGTAATACAACCTGTGAAACCTGCTATAGCAGGTACAAAAATTCAAGTTACCTTACTTCAAGTTACCATAGTAAATCCCATAATATTATACATGTATTGTCGAATTTGATGCATTGTAGAATACAATGTTTGGTATGTGTGATTGTGTATGTCGCATTAGCTAAAAGCTGAGACAAAACAATCTCAACTCAACTATCTCAACAATCACAACTAAAAGTTGAGATATAACAATCACTCAAAATGAGTGATAGTTTCTGTCACATCACAGAAACAATCTTTGTATTGTTTCTGCTAAAAAAACAAAAAAACGATGCATTGTAAACAATACATGCATAATGACAATCTCAACAAAACTATCGCAACTTCCAAACGACCCCATAGTACATTTAATAAGCTTCACTTACAGAAGAAAAAAAAAGTTGATTTGAATGGAAAAGGTCCACATATTTATACCTATTTGGTGGTGTTGTTTTTCAAGATGCTACAATCTTTCTTTGATAACTTATATTTTACAAGATCTCGATAATTTCTAATATGTGGCTGTGTTTTAAGTCGGCTACCTAGCCAACTTGTCCATCAATTTCGTGAGTCTCAATCCAAAGGAAAGCTATATATACAACATGTAGGTAATAACTCGATGGATCCGCTGCCTTGCCATGATGATGAGGGTGAACACTGAACAGCTAGCACGCTGCACTCATTATGTCTGGTTTTTTAGGCAGCAAGAAAACATTAACACCTCTAAGGTTTTCACCTTGCTTAAAAGGGAGTTTGATCTCATACTCATATATATTTTGCATGCCTCTTATATTGCCTTCACATATATACCAGTCCATCGGCCGTGAACACGATCGTGAATTGTTGCTTCTTTCATTCTTTGCCTCCCTCGATCGTGAACACGATCATTACTAAAGGACTTCATCTTTTCTTGTGGGTCAGATTCAATACATATATAGATACCCTTCATATGGTCCATAGTTACCATTTTATTCAAACTCAATCTTTCATTCGGTCAAGGTGCCTGGCTGGCTGCGGTTACTCTCTCCACATTCATGATCTCTTCTTCTTCTTCTTCTTCTTCTTCTTCTTCTTCGATGCCACCTCCACGGTAAGTTAAGAATCTTCTTCATAGCTCTAACATTCTCGTTCCTTTGTATGAAAAATAAGGAAAGGCTGAAATAGGAAATTTGGATGATAAGGTATTGATAGTTTCGTTGCTTGTGCATGCATGTCTCAGTCTCAGCTGCTCGCTTCATTTTAGTGATGGGTGGGAATCGGGACGACAAAGCTAGCTTGTAGGAGAGACTCAAAATTCTCAGCTGCTCGCTTCATGATCTGAAGTTCTGATCATTGAGAAAAACTCTAGTATTTTCTGTCTCTAGCTAGTCTATCTTATATATATATGAACTTCTTGTTGTTGTCGATCCATAAACTGCTTGAACCAAACTGCTCGAAAAAGGATTATTCCAAGACACGGCTTCTACCTACCGTATTCATCAGAATGATTACTTTTAAAGAATTTTCTCATATATTATGACGTGCATTTGAGTGAGTTAGCAATTGCTGCTTACATAAATAAAGTATAAATATAATTTGACTAATCTATCGACTCAAGTTATTAAAATTTTATATTTGATTTTAATCATTCCAAGACATCTTCATTCCTTCATACATTGTTTAGGGTATCAGTGAAGCAAGTACGTATATTAACTTAGAAGAGAAACAAAGCTACATATGACAAGGAAAGGGAACTTCTTTCTTTCTTTTCCTTGTTTTTTTTTTTTTTTTTTCGTGCATTCAGTTTGAAATGTTGTGGACGGTCTTATTACGTCTCTGTGTCATAGCTAGGCATGCATGCTGGTCCATCATATATATGGTCCATAGAATTCCATGATATCAACAATCAGTCACCTTACTATAGTTTAGTGACAATGAGATCGATAATTATAAAATTATGCCTACAAGAATATGATTAATGATAGAAATAAGTGGCTGGGCCAGTAATTATATATATGAACCTTCATTCAAAACTTGAAGGGGAAAAATTACACATAAGGTGATCCAACATCGGTACACCAATAGTAAATACATATATAGTATGTCTCTTCTTGATAATAATAAAAAAAAACTCAGATCAATAGTAAAATATACTACCTTATTATAAGATTAGTGGTTTTGGCCCCTTCTTAATTAGTCCTTACCAAGTAGCTACACAAGTGTATATATATACTTTAGTTCATAACATTAATGAATCAAATACCAAATGGCACACTCTATATGTCCAAATCATATAAGTAGCCATATATGCACGCTTACTATATATGTAGCTTGCTTCTGCGTCCCTCTCCTTTATGTACAAGAAGAACTTGGCATAGGATCAAGAGATCGACTTCTCTTCCTTGCATAGGTATATATATGGTAATATGGGTTGCTATACCCCTGATAGTCTGTAGTTATATTAGTATGCATCCATCTGGTCCAGTCTTCTGGTAATGTATATGCTTTATATGTGCTTATTATGTAATACATGATCACTTCCAAAGATCAATCTGGCTGTCAGAGGTCAATGTTGAGGCATACTCATGCAGCATTTCTGACCTCTTGGAGTCATCATTGGTAGCAACATTCATATGTTGCTCATCAGCCACTTGAAAGGAGGATGAAGATGATGGGGTGTTTGGGTAGTTGTTGTTGTTATTAGCTTCCTTGGAAGCACTAGCAACTTCATGGCTCAACTGAGATGCAACAAACTTGTCAAGAACTCTCCAATCGGTTGCCACTGCTTGCTCTTGATCATCTGTCGCGTTGCTATTGTAAACAGAACTCAAGTGATGATGATGTTGTTGATGACTTTGTTGGGTGTGTAGTTCCTCTTGCAGGAGTAGAGTCACATTGTTCTTTTCATAGGAGTAGTTGGGAACCATAGATGAAGATGAGTTGTTGCAGTTTGCATTGCTTGGTAGTTTAGGGCTTTCGAGTTGGGGAAGCTGGAGGAAAGACTCGAGGTTGTGGTGGTGTTGATGATGGTTTTGAGACATGTTGTATTGCAACTGATCCACCTCTTGCTTGCAGTGCAAGTAACGCTGATGCTGGTGATGAAGATAAGAGGATGATGGTGATAGATAAGGTTGTTGATGTTGGTGATGAGGAATCTGTCGAGGAGAATCAAGCTCTTGCATGAAAGAAACTTGATCATCATACCAACATGGTGATTCATACTCTCCTATTCGCCTAATTGTGGGTAGTCGCTTCTTGAACACCCTGCAAACGACCCATCCTTCTTCCTGCTATCGATGAAATGAAGTGTTAGTTGAACTTAAAATAATATATCACATCAATAATACTAAAAGGATTGTCTAATGATTTGCAAGTATATATGCATGAAGTTATAGAATATCATTTGGTAAGAAATGACTCACTACACTACTCTATTGTAAGTCATCTCCCATTAATTGTCAAAGAAGCCAAGTGTTAGCATATAGCTTCATAAGTGTGAAATAAAGTCTTTCATAGAAGCTAGATTTTAGGGGGGAATTTTTAATAACATTACCCAATGATACTTATGTAAAGACTACATTATCAATGTGGAATTATTTATGGCTTTCAAGGTAGCTAGGAGGACATGCAAAGATTAGTACTTCACTTGCCTGAGGAGCTCCATTCTCATTTGTCTCGAGTCGATACTCATGCATGATCCAATCTGATTTCTGCCCATTAGGAGCTCTTCCTTTGTAAAAGACCAAAGTCTTTCGCATCCCAACCAAGCTATGTCGACAATATATAGCCTTGTCTCTACCTGTGGCTTTCCAGAACCCAGCCTTTGTAGCTCGGTTGGTCCGAGTTCCAGTTGGATACTTCTTATCCTTGTGGCTAAAGAAGTACCACTCATTTTGTTCTTCAGTTCCGATCTTGCACAACTCTAGTGTCAAATAAAGCACACACAAAATGTAAGTAAATATGTGTTTTCCTAATGCCATGAGGAATTGCACCGTTTTATCTTTCATTTGTTTTGGTACCTTGGAGATCCCATGGCTCAATCCTGTAAAGATCAACATCTTTGATGACATCCAGATCAATTCGTTTGGAAGCGATCTTTTTCCTCAGATAATAATCAACAAGTTCTTCATCTGTTGGGTGGAACCTAAAGCCCGGGGGAACATGTGAAAAGGTATTCATTTCAAAGCCCGCAACTGTCCCTCTGCACACAAAGCTAATCAAAGAAGGAGCACATGAGATCTCACAAATGTTGAAGAATATGTACATTAGAGGAATTATTGGATGATTATCAAGAGACTGACGAGAAGATTAGAAGAAGCATATCTATGAGGTTTCACAAATTGACAGACAAAACAAAGACAAAGTAGATGGTGTTAACGAATTAATTGTATGCCCCATGTTTGTAGGGATTGCCCACGCCTAATTTGAAAGGAAAATAATCAAGTGTGGTAGTGGTTCTACAAAATAATTGTGTGTGTGCCAGCATAAAAGCATCTATAATTTCACTAAATACATGGATTAGCAAACATAACCGTAATGACGTGCGATCATCACATAATTTGCTTAGTGATCGGTGTAGCAATAATTTAAGAACGATATTAGGTTCACGACTGCTTTTAAATTTTTTGGAATCAATATCGTCTATGAAAAGACATAACGTAATTCACTAATAGTAGAGGCTCATCTCAAAATAATCACGCGATAGATAGTCTAATGAATTAGAATTTTCCAACATTCATTGGCTGCCTCTAAAGAAGAACATATATAGCTTATTACATTTGGATATTTTTCATTAGTTGAACTTCTAATTACAATAGCAAGCATTATATATGAACAAACACATGACATGAATTTCCTATCATATCAAACTCGAGAAAGTACAGTATGTTTGTTTTTCACAATAATTCATCCATACTGTTAGCTAGAGATGAATTCTAAATTTCACATCATAAATTTATAATTATTGTTGATAACGGTGATGGTTGAATTGAAATAAAACGAAAGAAAGTCAGTACAAAGATAAGAAAGAAAAACAGCAGCACAAGGAGTGCTAACCAGAAAGACAGAGGAAAAAAAGGGTGCGAGGTAAACCGAAAAACCCTTGCACACCCGAGACAAGGAGAAGAAGAACAAATAAAACAAAATGAGAACAAACCCAAAGAGAAGGGCATCGAAATAGCCCGCGCAAGCGTGGTGGACACCCCTGCCAAAACTCTCAAATAAATTTATAATTATATCATAGTGTTTTCATCAATACATAATCAATATCATAAATATTCTTAATTATGTATATTGTTGCATTCATGGTAGAACTAGCTAGCTAGAGAGTAGAGACCAATTAGTTTTTCTTATCACTAGGCTTACATATAATTGTCTTCCGTAAAAGAAAGAAACTATTAGAAGGCTTATCCGGCCATCTGATCGAGAAAACACACTAACTGGAGGTATTCATCATTCCACACTTAACCACCAGACATGTTCATTACAATTTACAAACAAAAAAAAATTAAAAGTAAAACAAACAGACAGACAGACAAACAAAAAACATGTATGAAACCGGACCTGGACTGGACCATATGAAGAGTATGGCCTAAGCATAAACAATTCCAACTGTTGTACGTACTAGCTAAAGGTAAAGAAGGAATGCGATTGCGAAAAGAAACGAGGTAGAAATTAAAGTGTCAGTTTATCAGTTTTTATGAAAGAAATGCATTTCAAAGCAAACCAAGAAAATTGCGAAATCACAACTAAGTGAATATTGGCTGCATGAACATATCCATATGGACAAACAATCATCTTCCATATTTACTTAAGACAAGAAAATAAGGTTATATATGTCTGCGTGTCTTGCCTGTTACTTCCAAACTAAACTAACTAAGGACAGATGAGAAGTAAAGAAAAGGAAAGAGAAGAAACTAAGAGATTGACATGAATGACTATCCAGAAAGTAAGTCGTGAACTCTGTGATCTAGCTAACTCCACATATATATGAATTAGAATAAACATGGTGATGGTCGTCACCTTTAATAAGCGAAGAAGAAGTTGAAGATAGTGAGAAGGTGTAGAAATAGCCAACCTTAGGTGATATTTTGGTACGTCCAGAAGCTTGGATCGCCCTAAAGCAAGCCAGGAAAACACCACCTTCCTTATTCTAGATCTGGTTCCAAACAAGACGATAATTAAGCCTGATGGTCGATGGATGAAGAAGAAAAAAGGTAGCAGCTCGCTATATATTGTTCCTCGGGACTTGAACCCTAAACCAGAAAGAAACTCTTTTTAGCCAGCCAGCCAGCCCAGTGAGGAACTAGCAAGCAAGGACTGTATGTATCTAAATATTCGTCCCAAAAGAGCAAAGAAGTGAAAGATCAGATCCCGAGGAACGCAAAAGAATGGAAAGAACACGCGCAGGTGGAAAGGGAAAAGAAAGAAAGGAAGGAAGGAAGGAGGCTGAGAGGAATGGGGGAGAGAGAAGAGGTAGGGTTAAATAAGAAGCAAACACAAAACCCAAAAAAGATATATCTAATATGAAGAAACCCAAAAAGAAAGAAGAAAAGAATAAACCCACACACGCCCTAATAATATATATTGATGTGAGTGGGGAGAAGGTTGATGGCAGGAACAGGGCTGGCTTTTGTGGGATGGCATGGAAGAAAATGGGTGATGGAGAAGCTAACCATCTCAACAATTGATCGATTACTAATTATTATGATGTTGTTGTGTTGTAGAGAGAGACAGAAAGAAAGAAAGAAAAAAAGAAAGAAAGGGAGAAAGGAAAGAGGGCTTTCGCATCCCCTCTACCAGCAACGGATAGAGACTCATACATCTCTCTGTACAAAGCTCAATTCATCATATTCCATCTTCACCACTTTTAGTTTCCATTACACTAAGTCACTAACCAATATTGTTGGCTTTTTTTGTTGAGTTGTGGAAGCTAGGGTTAAGAAAAACTATGAGGGGAACTTTACCCTCTTGATCACTTCTTTTAAGTGAAACTGAAACCCACATGCAATAACTAACCAAACATTTCCTTGCCACTTTGCCTCAACTAACAACACAAAATGTATCCATGTACTCAACCCAAAATTGCAACACTAATATAGATCTTTGCATGGGTAAAGTCCTCGTGGATTTTTTATCGTGGATTTTATAATTTTATAGATCTTTGCACAATGAATTATTGGTTGAAAAATAAGCTAATTATCTTAATTTTCACGACGATAAAAAAACATATCATACTCAAATGGAAAGAATTAATAGATATCAGTTAGTATAACATCCATACGGCTGAATTGAGCATATGGTTATCATACACGTAAGACGATTGCATTGGTTAAACAACCAAATGATCACCAATTTTATCACTCAATTTCTAAGAGGATTCATGCTTCCATAGTTAAGCCACATTTATTTCTTAGTGATTCAGTTTCCATTATAAATCAAGTAGCGCAAGACAACTTCAACATTAGAGGCACAAGTTCAGTAGTGGTCGTTTACAAAAAGACCAAAATGCTAGCTCAATTCGATCTCTTGAGTTGAAAGATTTTGATATGTCTACATGACCAGATTTCATTGCTAGTAGCAACATAGACTAAGAATAGGGCCTTTCAAACTTCAAGAAAAGGTCCTAATCTTATATGTATAAAGGACTCATGTCATCAGAAACATGAATGGTATTCTGTAGTGACTCCTATACCTAGAAACCTAACCATATATGTGGTAGAGTAATATGACAATAAACTCACTTGGTGAACATTGGTAGTATGAAATTTACAGGAGATCGAATTTATCATTGTTGCTAGAGCTCGGTGAATCTAATATAGCAAATGAACTCTGTGAAGGCTGCACTAAGCAAGCAAGCAATCGGCCTATCATATTAACATAGTTCTCAACTTCTCATCATACTCAAGATTTTCACCATACAACACCTTATGCAATACTTCATGGGAGTCCCAGTTATTTTTCTAATATAAGGACTGCTGCAGTCGTCTTTGCTTTTCTTCCTCTTGCAAATCCTTATTATATTGGGCCAAAATTTCCCCAAGGTTAGAAAACAAAAACATACTTTTCTTCACTACTGTGTTCTGAACACTTCTCTTTTCTACTGTTGTGTGGCAACAGTGTATAGTACTCTCTCTAGCTAACATTGAATGGATCCATAATAATGACAAAAGGAGTCCTTGTCACTCTATGTGTAGAAGGTGTCACTTACATATTACTATTTTATATTTACTGCGCTAATAAAATTATTTTTAATAAAGTGCGCTAATAATTAGTGTAGACTAAAATCATGCGGTTAAGGAGTGCAATATTCAATATTGGAAAATGCTGCAGTAATTAATTCAATGCAAATATAATATGTTGATCAATTCCCAGGCACTGAAACAGCAGCAGCAATTAATATTGTAGCGTGGTGCACATAATCAGACTAATGATTATGGCGATTAGTCTAGGCAGACAAGATAAATTAATAATATTTGAAGGGTTCATTCTAGATTGATCATAAATAACATATTATCCCTTGTGTATCCCTGTTGAAGGGGACAAACGGGCCAAACTGCCTCTCACGCCCAAATTAAAATTATATCTATTATATTCCTCCGTTTAGAAGGTAAATGAATTATGTTTAGGTTATCAATCAAAATGATGATCGCCAGAAAAATGTATAGCGTACATCTTCAAGAATTGAATGCCTATTATATTCTACCAACATAAAGAAAAGAAGTGAATGCATGCTAGATATATAGCATGTCTAGCACAAGGGTAAGTTTAATATTGATTTTCTTATACACTAGGGTAATTAAGCTGGCCACCATGACAACTTGTGGTCAACTATATGGTGGCGTGATATACAGGGCACAAACCCTAGCTGATATCCATCATATATAGTTAGCATTTTCTCGGTTATAATAATGATATTTCAACCAGGAATCTTACTGTTCAAAATTAACATACGTACCACTAAGTGCAGTCATCTCGTATAATAAGTCTGAGCATTTTTCTCTTTATAACTGTACCGAATTGATATTTGGATGGATCGAATGAGATCAAATCTATTTTGATTCATTTTAGATCCTATGAGTTATCTTCAATAAAAAGAAAATGAATTGAAATTGAATTTCGACGGGACGGAACGTAACAAATTAGATAAACCAACATGCTTTTGATTCGATATTGATCCCAACTTTCTTTTAATTTTGTTTCAATTCCAACTTGATCCAATTCTAAACCAAATCGATTGATGCCAAACATTAATGTCATATAATGCT